GGATTAGAAATTCTGTATGAAAAACAGAAATCACTTAAAAAGTAATCATTTGAAATACAACAATGAGTGGAAATAGTCTAAGCATAAAATCAAAGGCAATAACCATTTTAAAATACTGGCAGGTWATATTATATAAACATGCTGAACTTTTATACGGTTTAAATAAAATCTTGTAAAACATATAAACCTTACATGAAACAGACTTAAAACATAACGCTGAGAAAACACCCTACCTACAAACAGCAGCTGGGGCCACACCTGCTGCACAGGTGTGTAGCTGTGTGGTGAGGAGGGAGCATCCTTCCAGGAAGAATGTGTGCACAGGGCAGCCGATGCTACAGGCAAATGCTGAGGGCTTCTTCCATTTTATGACTAATGCATTATTTTTAATGCACATTTTACTATTAGTCAGTAAAAATAAATAAACTTCTATTCTTTTTTGAAGGAATGCATCCTAAGGACTGAGGAGCTTCTGAGGTAAACAGAGGGTACATACCAAGTCCTCTCCCAGAGAGAGGCTACCTGGTCGGCAAGTTCAGTCCTCCAGGCAGATGTATCCCTACTGACAAGCCAATCCTCAAGAAACCAATACCTATTTGCTTTAAATTTAGTTATCATCAGAAATGCCATGTAGCTTGTATAGTCCACAGGCACTTAGTTCTCACTAAAAAATAATCAAGGATTTCTTCTATAAGCAATAGTGAATTAACTGGTGTGAGACTTGCCTTCCCACTGAAAGCAACTAGAACAGTCACTTTCAGACACTGGACACAATGACCTCAAGAAACAAACACAGCCATGCATCCCACAGCAGCCCATTCCTATACTGGGGTGATTACACCCCACAGGGTGAGAGTAACAGCTAGGCAGGGAGACAGGCACCTTGAGCTCTGGAGACCAGACCTAGGTAAACTGTGCTGGCATTTGCAGGTAGTACTGGGAAGAAGCCAGGCAAACAAAGTTGCAGAAACCTGCTACCAATTGTCAACATGTACACACACAGGGTGGGATTACATCTGGCCACACCAAGCATTAACAGAGAGCTCCAAATTGCATCATCCCAGGGCAACAGAGCTGGGGAGAGACTGAGAGTCAAGAGGGGCTTGCAATTCAGTAGGTCCTGGAAGGATCCCAGAAGGACTGCATCCTGGGAGCAGGATAAAAAATCCAGTATCTACTCATGGCAAACCTCTCAGCAAATGAAACATCACAGTAAAGGGACTCTGGTCCATCCTAACGAAGTTTAAGAACAAGACTTGAAAAGAGAAAGCCCATCTACAAGTTGCTAAAGTAAAAAAAAAAAAAAAAAAAAAAAAATTAAAAAATAAGAGGCTCTGAAGTAGGAAAAAAAATCCCTAAAAATTTTATAATATCCAGCACCCAATTAAAAAAATATCAGACATGCAAAAAAACGCAGAAAAGTGTGACCTATCACAAGAAGAAAGTTTTAAAAACAGAAACATAACCAGAAACGACAGAGAAATTGACAATACAGAAAGAAATTAAGTATTATAAGCTGCTGAAAAATCTGATTAGTTCCAAATCCATAAACAAAATTCACTTCATAATTAAAGAGTTTCCCAAAATGTAAACTCTTGGATCAAATGGTTTCAAAGGTGAATTTGTTCAACATATAAAAAAAGAAATAACACCAATCTTACATCAACCACTTGAAACATACGAGAGGCAAAATGACTCTCTAAATTGTTTTATGAAGCCAGCATACTCCTAGATATCAAACTAAAGACATTAAACAAAAACAATCCTGAGCAATATCCTTCCTGAACATAGACATAAAAAATCCTTAACAAAATGTCAAATGCTGCAATATGTATGAAGGACTCTCAGCAAGACAAAACAGTGTTCGTCCCATTCTGCTGGTAGTGTAACAAGCATAAAAACTGGTCCACAAAATTATTATTAATAATGGTGAAAAACCACATGCTCACCTCAATAGATACAGAAAAGCCTTTGAAAAATCCCGTACCTACTCATGGAAAATCTTTCAGCAAATGAGACTAGGAAGAACTTCCTCAACCTGATCAAGGTATCCATGAACGACTGACAATTATCCCTACACACAAGGGCTGAATATGTCCCCCAGGATGAGATGGAACACAATAAATGGTCTCTGCACTTTTCTCCAACACTGACTCAGGTCAAATGTGATACTGCAAGTGAAGAAACAGATGGCTGCTATACAGACTGGAACGCCAAACTTAAAGATCTCCATTGCACAACCACCTAGACAATACTTTCTAGGTGGGCAGACACTACACCAAAGAAGATACACAGATACCAAACAGCATGTGAGGCAAAGCTCACAAAACAAGTCATCAGGGAAATGGAACTAAAATGGCAGAGACCTCACCACACAAAGTCATGAATAATAAGATCAAAATGGTGACAACACTGATGTTGCTGAAGACAGATACTGGACCACTCTTCCACTCCTAATGGAGACAGTGAATGGTACTGCCATCATGAAAAACAGCTGGGCAATTACTCTGACATGCAGAAGCTGCTTGTATACCTTCCCCCAAAACCCTTTGGGTGGGAAAATGCCTCAATGCTATATTTGTGACTTCAAGGCATGGGAGCTGTCCTACTGTCCCCGACCACTGGGAAGATACGAGAGTCAACCGGTTGATGGGGGCAATGATAGCAAATCTGACTCCTATAATCTCTTCATCCACTGGTCTAGGAGAATCTGCCTTCTGTCATCATCAATCATAGAAAAGAAGAGCTGTGACAACTCAGAACACAGAGATTAATACCTGATATATCCTACAGAATGTAAAGAAGCCATCACAGAGCACTGAGAATTAACAGACTACAACAAATCATCTAGATGGTATGCTATTGGCTTTAATGGAGAAATCCTGATCCAGAGCAGAAATTCAGGCAGTTTTCGAAATAAACTTCCAAACTGGGGAATGAGTGGGACTATAAGATATACAGAGACAAAATAAGAGACATATTTCTATATGTTTAAAATTGGGGAAATTAAAGGGAGGACACACACTTCCATATATCTGGTTTTACTGATTTGGAGGATTACAATATACATGAGCATACATGTACACTGCCTGTTGGCAAGCACCAACATGAAATGGCAAAGGTAAGGGACAAACAACCAAATGAGAAAAACAGGAAGGATGTGATGGAAAATTCCAGTCTATTAGACTTCCAAGAAGTATAGATTTAAACAATAGCTGTCAACGTTCTGTCAAAATGAATTTTTTTTCTTTCATGCTTATGTTAAATATTTTAAAAGATAATGTCTGGTAATCCATCTGTCACTAGTTACTGAGTGTTTTGGTACAACTCTTCTCCAACAGTTTAGAAAAACCAGAAGCCTGAAATTGTGGAACATTTTATCCCATAATTCTTGCTATCTGACCAGCTATTTGGATGCTCTCCACATAAGATTTGCTACTTGGATGCCCTCTTTTAGTGTCAATATATTTTAAAATAAATAAAGTAGAAGTTGCTTCCCTGGCTCCATGGAAGGGTGCTAGAGGAGGCTGGTCAGCTAAGAACGGTCACTATGCACCTCAGGGTGAGAAAACTACAACCTGTGTTCCAAATCTAGCCTGGATTCACTCTGTATGGCAGTAGAGGCAAGCATATGTGGTATTTTTAAGTTGTCAAAAGAGAAAGAAAGAGAGGAGATGGTGATGGTGACTCTGGACAACACATTCTCATGTGATGAAGAATACACAAAGGAATAAGAAGCTTGTTGGGGCCCACTGGTTCTGAAAAAGCCAGAGAACACAGAGAAATGACTTCTAATGTAGGGACTACCTGAAATAAACACTGTAGATGGAAGAAGCATGGCATCCCAGCCCCACATGTGCCACTTTCTAGTTTCCAGAAAGTGCAGCAGAGAGAGATTCGGTGGCTCCTGCTGTCCACAGCAGCTGCAAACCATCTGCAGCATAAGCAGTAGGTACTCCCATCCTGATGCAACTACACAAAGGGCAGTGACGGAATCAGCAGTACCTAACCTTCTTTCCACAGCTGAAACAACTGTGTGGTCAAAGGTCACCCTAGACACTCTCAATCTTGCTTTACTCTCCATGGAATCATCGAATCACGTAAGACAAAGCTGTTCTCACTCAGATCAATACTAGATACAAGCTAAAAGAAAACAAACATCAAATGACCACAACTAGGGTTTTTTTCAAGAATGGAGGGAAAAAACAATACATGTATGCCAGTATAGAAGATTCTTTTTTTTTCTTTTTTTTTTTAAATATGGGATGCTTCACGAATTTGCGTATCATCCTTGTGCAGGAGCCATGCTAATCTTCTCTGTATTGTTCCAATTTTAGTATATGTGCTGCCGAAGCACGCACAGTTTAGAAGATTCTTGACATTTGTAAGAGCTGTTTTAGAGATCACTGGAAATAAACACCATCCATGACCTTGCTCTCTGACCCAACCTCTACCTTCTAAAGTGACATACAAACACTTGGTGGACTCAAGCTGGAGCCTTTCTCCTTTCCCTGGCTCAAGAGACACTGCAAAACTCACTTCCTTCTATCAGAGAGGTTCTCCATGCTTCATTAGAAAGACAGACTGGGCTCAAACGCTGATTAAACCAGGGTTGAGTCCCAGTCTCTCAAAGTAGTACCTTGAGTAGCTATTAGGGAGTAAGCTAGTTAGCAACAATGGACCTTCTGTGTCCCACCAAAGTCCTCAACTTTGAGATTATTTAATGAGAATGTAAAAAAGTAGAAAAAGAAAAATGAAAGTCTAAAGTGTGAAGCAAAAAAAAAAAAAACAAAACAATATAAAACAGATTATGTGCTTATAAACCCCAGGAAGTATTTTGGTTAGAAATAATAAAACAACAAAACAAGTTCTCAATGTATTTTCATAGTGTATATAACTTATATGGCATGAACAGAAAGGTCCTTACTCCCTAGACATTCCCACTGAAGACAAAAGTTTACATGTATCCCTTTATTTGCACACATCTTGATGGTTCTCACCCCCAAGGCCGGCAGCCTTTGAGTGCAGCTCACAGCCACCTTCAGCTTCCAGTCTGTCTCACCATCCAGCTGGTCCGTTCGAATGAAACATGAACCTTGGAAGTAGAGGAAGAAAAAGTCACAACTCTCAAAATGTACTACAGAAGGTTATTCCTGAGCTAAAGTGCACAGATCCAGGCCAGAAGAGATACATCCTGAGAACAAAAACCTTCAAAGGCCTTCATTTTGATATGATATGMTATGACTGACAGATCAAGTCTCTGAAAAGATACAGCCATTCAATGTTGTTGGTTTTTTGTTTTTGTGTGTGTGTTATTTCAATATTTTATTTAGAGACAGGGAATCACTGGGTTACTGAGGCCTCACCTAAGTTGCTGAGGCTGACTTTGAACTCACAATCCTCCCATCTCAGCATCCCACGCTGCTGGGATTATAATCGTGTACCACCATGCCAAGCCCATTCAATGTTTTTGATCACCTGATTTCTATTCGGTGTTTCTGCCTTTTAAGGTTTAATATTAACTACTATAGAGACTACAGGGGTCATTTCTACCTTGAATGTCTTTTGAGAGTGACAAAAAAATGAGACACACAAAAATCTCCAAGAGTGCATGATATTACCTTGCTAAAAAAATGTTACATTTACCACCACAGAACATATATTCAATAATAACAGCACAGCTAATGTGCTACTGGACACTCATAAACATATCTGATTTTTTAAATATATTCTTTTAGCTGTCAATGGACTATTATTATTATTATTATTATTTTACTTATTTATATGTGGTGCTGAGGATTGAACTCTCTCAAGCATGCGAGGAAATGCGGTGCCACTGAGCTACAGCCCCAGCCCCGCTATTTGATTTTTAATACAGAAAAATATCAAGTTACAAAATTCCACTGACCCTCCAAGACTGAGTTATATCATCCCATTTCTCAGAATGTACCCTGAAGACAGAACATGAAAAGCACAAAATGATGTAATTATGTAAAATTGTGGATGTGTAACCAACGTGATTCTGCAATCTGCATTTGGGGTAAAATTGGGAGTTCATAACCCACTTCAATCTAATGTATGAAATATGATATGTCAAGAGCTTTGTAATGTTGTGAACATCCAATAAAAAAAAGAGAGCAAAAAAAAAAAAAAGAAGCTGGAAGAAAGACCATCTTTGTTATAAAGTGGCAAAAAACTTGAAAAAAAAAAAAAGAAAAGCACAAAATGACAAACTCTCAGAACTATTCACTGCAATACTGTTTACAAAAACAAAAGGTTGGGGGCAAAAAGAGAACTAGCTGAATAAAGGAGAGCACAAGGGAAAAGAAAGGAAAACAAAGAAAGAYCCCTACATACTGTTATCAAATGACTTCTAGGACACATGCTGACATGAAGGAAGTAAGAGAACATTATGTACAGAACACTAACTCACAGTAAGAGAAAGGAAGGAGAAAGGAGAATAAACGTGTGTATAAGTGTGTGAATATCTGTGTTTGAGCTTTAGTGTGTGCATCCATGTACATTTGTACTGTGTATTTGTATCCGTGCATGTGTCTAAGTGTACATGTATCCCTTCATTTGCACACATCTGTGTGTAACTGTCTAGATGCATGTGTATCTGTGTATGTCTGTGCTTTGTTTGTGTAGGTACACAGCTRTGGGTATGCACAAGTGCATCATACCTATATGGAAAAGAATGGACAGGAAGAGAAGCCAGACCCGACTACATCTTACTTGATACTGTTCACTTGGAAAGGATACATGCTTTACATAATTGAAAAATCAAATTGCAACAAGCATTACATGCCCCATGCCAATCTCTGTCCTTCACTCCTTCTGGAAGGTGCCAGGGGCACCAGCTGCTGATGGCTGCACTGCAGAGTCCACCACCTACTTGCACGGGCTTGCCATTCTGGTATGTCACCAAATTCTCTCTTCACCTACAGATCTCCTTCCCTGTTATTTCCTCTGCTGAAGGTCTAGGTCTGCACTGCACTGAATGCACATCCACGGTCCCACACCAGGGGTGCAAGGGGCAGTGTCCACTCTACAATGGCCCTACAGCCACTCATGCTCGATGCACAGACCCACTTGTTACACTATAGGGTGCAGGGCAAGACAGGCTTTTCAAGTCCAGGTGGAGTTAAGCCCAAGCAGAGAAGCTTCTACTCAGTGTATTAGGTTGGTCACCTAGTAGAACAGCTTCTTAAGTAAGGACTGGCTCATGGTTCTTCACCCTCGACATTCTAAGACAAGGAGTTGGTACTCTGCCACCCTCAGCTAGTGCTCCATGGGGGAGGCACATGGATGAGCTGCAGTATTGATGTTTCAATACAAYGTGCTCATTATTACCATTACAGAATCTCAAATTGCCCCACATTGTCCATTGGGTACCTCTTTAGGTTCTTGCCTTAGTCCTGATGACATGAATCTATTAGATTTTGACAGTCTCCTTCACAGTCTGGTACTGCAGAATACTACTAGGTTGAACATCATTTCTAGGTCTTTTCAGTGAACAAAAGCAAGAGGTAAAAGTGTGTGTGTGTGTGTGTGTGTGTGTGTGTGTGCGCGCACGCGCGCGTGTTTGTGTGTTGCACAAAGTACACCCTGTGTTCACACTGATCTCGCCAATCCAAAGTCAATGTTGTGGGGTTTCTCATGACCCCTTATCGCTTCCAGCTGCATCTCCCTTCTTCTGCATCAAGCACCCCGATTCTCAAGGACATGGAATGCAGAATGAGAATCCTACCAGGCCCCRTGGCTGCAGGTGGTCTATTCTTTGGGCTTTTACAGGGATAACTGGTAAGCTCCTTCTGTGTTAAATGCTGTGTGTAGACTACTGGTTTTATCTGGCAGTCTGATTTCTCTTTTGTGTATGTATGAACGACCTTTGTCATAAATAAACAAACAGTATTATGGAAGTCTATTGCTACACAATGATCCTCATGTTTAAATCTGTTAACATGTGACAGAGCCACACGTCACTGAACAACAGGAGTACCTTCTGAGAAATGCACCACTGGGCAATGTTGCTGGGTATACCAATGCAAACCCAGATGGCACAGGTTACTTGATATGGCCTCTTGATGCAAACAAAGGATGTGGTGAGCACAAATCTGTATGAGCTTGCTGCTAGAGTAACACAGCATACTCGTTTACAATAAACTCTCTCTCTCTCTCTCTCTCTCTCTCTCTCTCTCTCTCTTTTCAACAAGTAGGAATACACTCTCAAGTAACAACAAAAAATACAGTATAGGAATATCTCAATGATTAACACAGTCGTGCATTATCATTACCAAGCGCTAAGCATGTTCATAACTGACATGCCCTTCCAGAAGACTGGCAGCACAGGTTTGTTCATACCAGCATCACTTCACTCACACACATGTACACTGCACTGCTTACAGCATTAAGACCCCCAAGACACCACTGGGCGATAAGAACATTTCAGCTGCACTAAAATCTCATGGGGTCACCCTCATAAACATGGCCTGTGGTTGGTTGAGAAGTCCCACTTGGTGCATGACTCCATGTTCATGTTTCTGAAACCATAGACAGCACCACAACGTACCCATGACAGAGAGTCCAGGTTTCCTGTGTTAACTCCTCCTCTCACCCCTCCTCTACCAGCTGCAGGAATCCAACAATGACCCATGTGGTATTACAGCTCTGCCCCATTACAGGCAGGGTTTGAGAAGACACAAAGACTATGCTGCAATAACCATCACCCACGATCTCAGAACCTCATGTAACAACTTGCAGTAATGGGACTGCACCCACTAGTGCGTGGTATGTATCCTAAGGAAAAACTGCAGATACACTGTAATAGCTTTCAGTTGCCATTCCAGGAGTGCAATGTTGCACTACAACTTGGAGACTATCATGTTCAAACCTCTGCACAGTACGCAGGCAGACTATATCCACTTGGTGCAGTTACCATGGGGCCATAAAGATAACTGTCCAGGCTAGATCCAAGCCATGTGATCTTATTCAGCAACTGTCCCATGACTGCTGAAAACCTATCAGGACACCAAAACTCTCCTCCTGCCAGTTATAAATGTATGGGAAAATGAAAGAAATAAAACTGGCATTTACTGAGTAGATGGGAACTTACAATAGCAAGAATGCCRGGAATGAGAGTCTTGACTCTGCTCTTAAGTTCTGTGGAAGCTCCCTGGGTACTTCTTGCCTCCTTCCACTTGCCACAAAACTCTAGAAGAAGCAGATTGTTCCCTTCTGGGCTTTGGCCCAGTCCTACTCTTGGCTGAGGTGGGACTGGCCTAGAATGTTCATCCTGGCGCAAGAGTTCCATCCTGGTGAGACTACAGTGGGCATGTCTTACCTCAAGATATCTTCATCCTATTCGTTACCATGATTTCCCTTATTTATATCAAGAAGTTCATAACAATAAACTCCTGGGGCTGCAAACCATCAATCTGTCAGAAAGGCAGCAGTGTGAATTTTCTTATGGCCACCTTCTTTTCCTACCACTTTACACACTCTCAGGTGGCTTCCTTCAGAGTTCTGGAATGGCAGGACTTCCTGCAGTTGTGCACACCAAGACTGTCACTTTCTACCACTTTTCTAGAATGTTTTCCCCTGTGTGTTTCCTGATAGACTTTAAAAAACTCAACTGAAGAAACTGCAAGATGCCCAGTTACAGTGACAATAACAGGAACAAAAGGCCATATTACATAACAGGCTTTAAAAGTTGAAACAATGCCTCAATACACTGGCTGGAGTAATGAAGTTGTGCTTGATGGTAAAAGGCAAATTCACTTTGAGAAGGCGGCAACGCAACCACATACTTTGCTGTCTACATGTGAGCTGCATAAAAGTGTGCAGAGACCAGTCACCAACAGACTCAACAAAGTGAAGGAGTAAAGGGGTGATCACCAGTTAGTCACATGGTACCCAGGCTGTCTACAAGGTGATCTGTGGRCGGAAGAGTCAAATATAAAATTTAAACTTCACCTAATTATTCAATTATTATATGWCACAGTAATGAAAACTTGGTATATATCATCAGGGAACTGGTGTTATTTGTCTTAACTTTCATAATGAGATTTGTAGACAAGGAAAATGTACAAAGCA